GTTTGTGACTAAAAAGAGATTAATTAAACTTAAGGGACTGGAATTGTAATTATAAGATAATTGCAATTGGGCAATGGATTGCCTTATATTATAAGGTTGGACGAATTCTATGGGGAAACCCATTAGAAATCGTCCAAGGCCTTTAAGGAAAGGAGTCCATGGGTTGCTTAGGGCTTAAGCATCCAAATTAGGGTTTCCTTGTTAGACAACCCTAATAGCCTCACTATACATAGAGCCCTTATGCCCCAAAAACGTGGTGAACTAGTTCTCTAGGGTTTCCACACGTTTTTGAGAGCCTCCTTCTCTCCTCCTCTTCATCCTCTTGCTCTTGGTGTTTGTGAACCATTAGAGGAGTGACATTTGTGACTCTAAGCTTTCTAAAGTCAATACAAGAAGGATTTGTGATTGTTATTGCTACATAACAATCAAGGTATGATCTAAACCCTAATTATATGTTATATTGATTATCATATGCTAGATCTAGGGTTTATAGTCTTGGATGAATTTCATGTACAATAGAGAAACCTAGATCCAAGCATTAGGGTTTGTATGAGCACATAGGATGTTCTTATAGCTAAAACCCATCAAAAATGACCATTTTACCCTTGACCAAGTCAAAGTCAAACTCCAAGTCTACTTCTAGTTGACCTGACTCGTCGAGTTGGTTCGCCAACTCACCGAGTCCCTATCCTTCCATTTGTCCTCATACCCAACTCTACTCGTCGAGTTAGGCGATGACTCAACGAGTTTTCCTCCTAATTGAACATCGACTGAATCTTCATCAGACTCGCCAAGTTGTATGAACAACTCGTCGAGTTCATCTTCAACTGATACTCAGGTCCTATCCTTGACTCGCCGAGTTGTATGAATAACTCGTCGAGTTCATCTTCTTCCTTAAGAAGATTGCCTTGGACTCGCCGAGTCTACTCGTGCAATCACCGAGTCCCATGAATGTCCAGAACAATGGCTTAGTCCAGAACGTTGGGTCACTTCCCGGGACCCCCTAAAACCTTTCCACACTAAACTGGGTCCTTTTTGACCCTCAACTGATACAGGACAAAACCTTGGACTCGTCGAGTCAGTCACAACCTCTCACTAAATCTTCGATTTCTGACGTACAACCCTTAATCAAAAGATAGATCTATGCTTCTACAATCGATCTACACACGTAAAGTTAGAACCTTTACGTGCTTGCATGGGACTTTGAGCTCAAAAGGTCCTAAAACAAGCTCTTACAATGCATGAGGCCTTCTTTGAGTGCAAAAGCCACTCCTTTCTGCCTTGTAACCCCTTTAAGGACCTAGATCCAAAACATCAACCCCTAACCATGCTTGAAATCATGATTGGTGACCAAAATGGCTTAGAAAAGCCCTAGAACTCCACAAAATGGGATCTATCAAAAGAACAAACAAGGTATAGACTTTATACCTTCTGTAGACTACAAATGATGCTCAAAATCGGGTCCTTCTAGCCTCTTCCTGATCCTTCAAGCTTTTCCTTCCTTCCTTGGATCACAAAAGCACTAAAATTACTCCAAATGCCTTAGATTGCTTCAATAACGGCTAGGGTTTTCTATGGGGGTCTTCTGGGAGCAAATAGGATGAAGGAGGCCGAGTTAAGATGTTTAAATAGGGTGCAAACCCTCGGGTTAGGGTTTTGTCCAGACAGGGCCTACTCGCTAGTCCGGGACCCGACTCGTCGAGTCCACGGCTTAAACCCCGCGTCTCAACATGCTTTTACTCGGCGAGTTGGTCCTTCAACTCGCCGAGTCCAAGGCCAAAATGAAAAATATATTAAAGAATTAATAAAAGGTGTTACATTAGCGAAGAATCTGGCTCAACGTAGGCAGAACTTCTGAGTCGAAAGCTCTTCTTCTCGGGGCCTTCTGGCACTCCGGGACTCACTAGTAACTCCTAAGAAGGGCTAGAGAAAAGCCTTGAGGCTTTAGGAGTGTTTAGGAGAAGAGAAGTGGAAATGTGTGAAGAAATGGGATGATTTGCACCTCTATTTATAGTCTGGAAATAGCTCAACACATCGTCTTAATAAGCCTAACACATAATGTTGGGGTTCTAGGTGTCATCATCTGATGGCAAGGTGTGGGGAAGAAGTAGTCGCTTAGATCGCGCCACGTGTCACTCACAAATTACTCCCAAAACTAGTTATCTTCTAAAACCCGTAACTTTCATATATGAGCTCTGTTTTTGACGTTCTTTATATTCATGTGTAGGTATCGACAGGATCTACAACTTTCATTTAGACTTCTTCGGCTAATTTTGACTTTATTTTTAAACTTATATTTTAACATGCTTAGACAGATAAAGTCCGTTAAAAGTTCATAACTTTGTCATCCGGCGTCCGTTTTCGTCTGTCTTTTAATCGTTGAGCTCCTATTAATGAGATCTTCAATTCTCATTTAGGTTGTGTCGGCTAAATATCGCTCGATCTAAAATTCGATTTTCGGGATGTGCATTGCTATGCTAAATCTTAGAAAAATCATAACTTCCTTATATGAAGTCAGATTTAGATGTTCTTTATATGCACGATTTCGGTTTAACGTCTACTACGACTTTTGTTTAGATCAATAAGGCTAAAAAGTTGCTTATCAATTACATTACGCGGTACTATGTCGGTTTAGCCGTAAAAATTTGACGGATCATACCTTATTCGTTATAAGTCGGATTTCAACTTTCTTTATATGCATGGAACCCTTGTGACATATACTATAACTTGGTTAAGATTATTTATTCTAAATAATATTCTATCAAAAAATCATTTTTGACACTTATTGTCTTTAAATTGACTAGCCCGAATCTGCAGACGTTAAATATAATTCTATGGTATTCATGCCACTGTTTCCCTATTGTAAATTAACGTTTAAAATGAACTCGGATGAAAAATCATAACTCTTTCGGCTCAAAATATATAAATTTTGAGCAATTAAACGTAATACCATTTAAACTTAATTAATAAACATTAGTGTGACGTACATTTGGTCTAGATTATAGCAACACTTACGGTAATTGATTGTCAATAGTTGACCCAGTTTGCCAACTGTTAGATTATCCCCTCGTTGAAAGGAATTTTGTCTAGAAATTCAGTGTGTAGATAAAATATCATAAAAAAATTGGTGGCATTTTCATTTTGCTTGATCCATACATGATCTGTCTAAAGTCGATTTAAGCCGTGTAGCTCTAGGTTAGATAACTGGTCCAATATGTGACTTTACCACAAGTCTCAGTTAGACAGGGAATATCAAATAAGATTGAATCAAATATTTTAAAGGTTGTCGAGTCTTACATACAATTTAATTGTGTGTAGATTCACGAATATGAAACATCAGCACAGTTTCTTAGTACACTTCGTTGAGAAAAAGATAGTAAGTGTGTCGTCGAACATACACTCCTCGAGTTTTGGCGCACGAAAGGCGTCATGCACTTCATTTAGTTTTTTTTTTTGAGATAAATGGATATAAATATCAGGACCAAATTCTGTTAAGAATTTCTAAGGTCCTTTGAGCTGCAGGTTTAACTTGAATCGTTCTCTAAACCGAATCATTCATCTAAAATATAAGGTGTTTAAAGTTACAGAGTCTCCAAATTGAAAGTCGAGAGACTGACATCTTTTGTTCACATAACTCTTTTGTCGTTCGTGTACAATATGTAATCATTCTCACCTTCACACAATATTTTATGCGATGTCTTGAGTTATTCTTTGATCAAAGTGAAGTGTATCGCCTGCAAGCTTTTTGTTCAATTTTGTATCTCCAATCAATGTTCAACATGTCGAGCATGGGCGCTTGCATCTGTGTAAGGTCTTGAACAGTGTGGCCTTGATGCTGGTGTGATTATTATCATTGCAAGAAAAACTCAATTAACGAAAATGAGTATTCAATGTAATATCTAAAGTCGGTCATACATGTTCAGGGCATATTACTCATGCCGAGATGATTCATTCGGTCTAACCATTGGGGATGAATAGATATGCTTATGCCAAGCACGCACTCAAAGATTTCAATGATTGTCGTAATTGCTAGATGAATCTACTATCATAGTGAGAGATGATAGAGATCAGCATCTTGTGTAGTCTGATGATTTCTTTGTCATGTTTTGGTCAACTTTTCCATTTCACATGGTTCTTAGATTAGTGAAAACTAGGCAGACTTAGTCAATATATGGACCACTGCCTAAATAAATATCGAAACCATTATGTTTCTTTGGATAGATTGGGTATGAGGTCTATTGACGTTGGTTCCTACTTTTACTTGGGTTTTTCTTAATCATCACTCTATTCATGAGTGTTTCTGACATTTTTCATTTGGTACAAGTTTGTTATTTGTCCATTCCAATGGTAATCTCCGCTTTCATGCATGTTCATTACTTCATTTCTTTCAAATCTAAGTACATCTAGTCAGATCCTGGATGGATGAGACATTTTTATCTGTGAGTTTTGTCTAAAACTATGCTCACGTGTTCACTGTACTTAGGGGTACAAATTTGTTTCATAAAGTATCACGTCCCATCATCCCTAAGCTTGACCTGTTCATCTGGTCTTCACAGAGCTTCACTCACGAAGCCTTTCTCTCTCATAGTCTCGAGTGAAACTTCTCGAATATGAGCTATAGGTTATGAATGGATATTCATAATTAGTACTCGTACTAAGCGGGGTTTGGTACATCTATTTCAGTTCAAGACATTTGCTACCATGCCAATTCTCATTACAATGATATCGAATGACAACAAATTTCTCATTTATGTTATTCAACCAAAAACATAGGCAAAAACCTTGCCTCAATTTATCTATATGCGCCTCAATCCTTTATGTTCATGTTGTCGTATACGAACAAGTTCTCTCTCTTTCAGAAAGATAGGATTGATGCGTTACGCCCTAGTTGTTCCAACTTCTGGAATATATTCCCTTGCTTATCTTTCCAGTTGGACTTTGTTTCATTTTGGCGCTAACATAGTTGATGGTTAGGCTACCAAAGAAAAGTTTCTGATGGATCACTGGTAGTAGCCAACATAAATTATTTTGTTGTTATCCTCCTCCTCATCAACACATAACTTAACCAAGAAATGATCATTTGATGTCCTATTCATATGCACTACATCATCGGTAAAAACCAACTCAACATTCCAGAGTTCATCTATGCTATCTTCATTTTCACCATTAATATATGACTCACATCCATCATCATCAAACCATCCATCAAAACCAACCCCAATATGATCCACATAAACAAAAATTATACCATCTGTTCCATAAACATCACAAATAAAAGTAGCATATTCCACATCATCTGAAATGCTATTAAGCCATTCCATGATGGAAATGCCTGGTTCACAGTAGTACAACCTCTTACAATCTTCATGCATGAAACGTTTGAAAAAGGTCACACACTCATAATAAGTCATAGAAGAAAAGTCAACATCATTGAATATGGTTCTTACACCACCAATGTAATAGAAAGGATTACCAGTAAGTATCATTTGGTAGTTGAGATCCACCATTGCAAACAGTCCCTACCATTTGGTAGTTGAGTTCCACCATTGCAAACAGTCCATTAGGTTCCAATTGTGCCGTTGCAACGACTTTTTTGGTACTTCAGCTCGATCACAAAAAGCCTTCACAAACCCTAGCTCAGTTTCGTTTAAAGTGAAAAATGAAGAACGGAGGTCGACATGTGAAGATGATAGGTTTTAACTATCGTATATCATTTATTGACATGACATATCTCACGTGTCATCAGATTAACCAAAAAATAAATATTAATGGACACATATACAATGACAACCGAGAAACCATTTAAAATCGATGAAGGTGACTACAGTGAAATATCGAATCGGACAAATGCTAAAACTTTAATGTGCTACAGTGTCATTTTTCCAAAATTTTCTTCTAAGAAATACTCCATATGTTTACAAAAATTATAGTACCATTTTCCCAAAATTTTCTTCAAGAAATACTCCATATATGCTTAAAAAAAATTACAAAAATAGTATTTGATTAATAAAAAATTTAAAAATATTTAAAAGACAAAAATTTAATGTAAGTTTTCAACTCGTATCGTATGCAAACCAGAGTCCACCCGCTTCGTATGTTACGCACAAAAACCCCAAACCCCTCTTCCTTTCTCAGCCTCCACACTCTTCATATCTGCAGAGTGCAATCCTACTTCTCATTCTTCTGCGATCAGTAAGTCATTCTCTCTCTTTCGATATACAATATATTTGATATGGAATATACGTGAGCACATACTTTTAATTTTGATTTCATTCTCATAACTATTAAAATGCAGAATTGATGTCTAAAATAGTTGTAGATTGAGTTTTCCATTGTGAGATGTAATACTTGTTTGTGCGAATGTTTATTTTCTTAGCTGCTTTTTCTTTGGAAGGATTACATTCGAATCGATTTTAATGTTGAAAAGTATCCCAATGGGGCTTTAGGCTAATTCGATAAAAACATTAGGGCAAAGAGAACGCAAATCAGATTTTCATCAGCCGCATTAGGAGGAGAAACTACTGTAAGTTCCACCGCAGCCACCAGCATGACAAACACAAATCCTGAGGTTCCTCTTTCCGAGGAGGAACTTGAGAGGAAGAAGAAGAAAGAAGAGAAGGTATTTCCTTTTACTTTTTTCAACTTCACTCGATTCTATTCAGGCTTTCTGATATCAATTTAGTATGGAGTAGGAGCTCAAGTTTTTTTTTATTTCTTTGGTGGGTAGGCAAAAGAGAAAGAGATGAAAAGGTTAAAGGCTGCACAAAAAGCAGAAGCAGCCAAACTTAAGGTAATCTTAAGTTGTTAAGTAGTATCTTACTTTAGTGAATTTATCATAATATTAGTTTAATGATCAATTGATTTCATTGATACACATTTAAGGCACAACAAGGACCTTCTATCTCAAAAGCCAGTAAGAAAAAAACAGTAAGGGCAGATGCAAGTAAAGAAAATCCAGAAGACTATATAGATCCAGAAACAGCTTCTGGTGATAAGAAAAAACTTTCTCAACAAATGGCAAAGCAGTTCTCTCCTGTTGCAGTGGAGAAATCGTTAGTTTTTCTATGAATTTTTTTTTCTTTCACAGCATCATCTAGCTCAAATTTCATTGATAATACTTCTATCAGCAATCTTGTTTCTTATTATAAAATTTTAATTACTTATTGCTAGATGGTATGCATGGTGGGAGAAGTCAGGTTTCTTTGAGGCAAATTCCAGCAGCTCTAAACCTCCTTTCACTATCGTGAGTCTTGTGATTTTCTCTACTATTTCGTGTCTATAAATGTTCATAAACAATGATGTATCTAACTATCTATAGATCTTTTTACACAGATTGGTTTTGGGATTGTGGCTTGTGGTTTGTATAAAGCCGTTGATTAATGTAATTTGGTTATGGATGTCTTGTTTATGTGTAAATGCAGGTTCTTCCACCTCCTAATGTGACTGGTGCTCTACACATTGGTCATGCTTTAACTGCTGCTATCCAGGTTTCATGACTTACCCTCATCTTTTATGAGTTTTACAATTCTTTCCTTTTTTCAATTTTATTTGATATTGATTATCATTATAGGATACAATTATTCGTTGGAGGAGAATGTCAGGATACAATACCTTATGGGTGCCTGGAATGGATCATGCAGGAATAGCAACTCAGGTTGAATTTACTTTTAAGGAATAGATATTTCACTAGTTGTTACACTTGGGTGCTGTTTCTTTTTGACTTAATGAGCTTTAACCTAATCCTGTTAGCTATATATGACTTAATGCAGAAAGAACGGTTTAATCTGATTATCTTGCTTTTCTCTTTCATTACATAATACATATACTGTTAGGTTTCTTATGTTTATCTAACAAAGATTCATTGACAGGTGGTGGTGGAGAAAAAAATCATGAGAGAGAGAAAAATGACACGTCATGATGTGGGTCGAGAAAAGTTTGTAGAGGAAGTGAGTTTGACTTCACATCACATGTTATATCTTTGCTTATCAACTTTGAAGTTCATATGTTTAACTTAACTTCAAAGATCTTGTGTTAATTTTATGATGGATGATATTGATAGGTATGGAAATGGAAAGAGGAATATGGTGGAACAATATTGAAACAACTCAGGCGTTTGGGTGCATCTCTAGATTGGTCACGTGAGGTAAAACCTAGAAAAAAGATAACTACAAGAAATATATTTGATATCAGTTTTATCTGAGGTTTCATTATGTTTAATTTTATATATGTATAACAAGTTTATAAATGTTCCTTAAATAATGACAGTGCTTTACCATGGATGAGAAAAGGTCAAATGCTGTAACAGAAGCTTTTGTCAGGCTTTACAAGGAGGGTCTTATTTATAGGTAATATTCACATCAAGAGGTTTCAATATCATCATTAACAAAAGCTTTATTTTCCCTCAAGTTTTTGGTAATTGAAATCTCATTTTATATATTAACATCATGGATACCCTTTTGACTTTTCTTCAGAGACCTAAGGCTAGTCAACTGGGATTGTGTCTTGAGAACAGCAATATCTGATATTGAGGTACACCATGAAGCCATTTCCATTTTCTCAACAGTTATATACAATACAGCAGTTTGTTTCATTTTACATTTTTGCCCCTATATAGGTGGACTATGTTGATATCAAAGAGAAGACACCTCTAAAGGTCCCAGGGTATAAAAACATGGTTGAATTCGGTGTTTTAACCTCTTTTGCTTACCCTTTAGAAGAAAATCTTGGAGAAATTGTGGTGGCTACAACTAGAGTTGAAACAATGCTTGGAGATACTGCTATTGCTGTTCATCCAGAAGATCCAAGATACACTCATCTTCATGGGAAATTTGCATGTCATCCATTTAATGGAAGAAAACTTCCCATAATCTGTGATTCTATCCTTGTTGACCCTAAATTTGGAACTGGTGCAGTCAAGGTAATCTAAACCCTAAACCCTAAACCCTAAACCCTAAACCCTAAACATTTGATGGTGTTTAATTGTTTATGCAGATAACTCCAGCACATGATCCGAATGATTTTGAAGTTGGAAAGCGTCATAAACTGGAGTTCATCAACATTTTTACTGATGATGGGAAGATAAATAGTAATGGGGGTTCAGGTTTTGTAGGGTTACCACGTTTTGAAGCTCGTGTGGCTGTAACCGAGGCTTTGAAGTCTAAGGTATAAAAAAGACATAAATGCCCTTCTTATCCTCATCATAATATCCATTGTCTGTTAACTGTATGCATTAAATACAATACAATACAGGGACTTTATAAAGGGGAAGAAAAGAATGAGATGCGTTTAGGTGTTTGTTCTAGAAGCAATGATGTGGTTGAACCTATGATTAAGCCTCAGTGGTATGTTAACTGCAATGGTATTGCTAAAGAAGCTCTTGATGCTGTTATGGATGAAAATAACAAGAAAATTGATATCATTCCAAAACAATATGCTGCTGAATGGAAAAGGTCACCTTCCTTCTTTACCTTTAAAGTAACACTCATTTTTTTTTTTTTTTCCTGAAAACATTTTGTAACATTTTTAAATAAATTACAGGTGGCTTGAGAACATTCGTGATTGGTGTATATCAAGGCAGCTATGGTGGGGCCACAGGGTTCCTGCATGGTATGTGACATTGGAGGATGATAAACTGAAGGAACTTGGAGCATACAAGGATCATTGGGTGGTTGCTAGGGATGAGAAAGAGGCTGAAGGGGAGGCTAAAAGAGTCTTTTCAGGGAAAAAGTTTCAGTTAACTCAAGATCCTGATGTTCTAGACACCTGGTTTTCTTCAGGGCTTTTCCCATTATCTGTATTAGGGTGGCCTGATAATACTCAAGATCTCAAGACTTTTTATCCAACTGCTGTTCTTGAAACTGGACATGACATTTTATTTTTTTGGGTTGCTCGTATGGTGATGCTTGGGATGAAATTGGGAGGTGATGTTCCTTTCCAAAAGGTTAGTTATAACTTTAATAATTAATATTATTGAAAACAATGCAATAATACTTGATATTAAAAACTGTTCTTTAGGTTTATTTACATCCAATGATTCGTGATGCACATGGAAGAAAAATGTCCAAATCTTTGGGCAATGTGGTGGATCCCATAGAAGTAATATGTGGAATAACCCTAGAGGGTCTTCATAAGAGACTTGAGGAGGGTAATTTGGACCTTACTGAATTAAAAGTTGCCAAAGAAGGGCAAAAGAAGGATTTTCCTAATGGTATTCCTGAATGTGGGGCAGATGCCCTTCGATTTGCCCTTGTCTCATACACTGCTCAGGTATCATCTATTTTATATTATACCCTTCTACACCTTATATATATATATATATATATATATATATATATATATATATATATATATATATATATATATATATATATTCTCTAAAAGATTTTGTATTCATGGAATTGGAATTCAAGATTCCATTCCATGGTTTATTTGGTTGCCACATGGGTCGAGTCCTTCAAAGTTTGATGGGGGAAGGAGTTCAATAACTTCAATTCACTCTCTGTTTTTGCAAAAAGACCAAAATACCCTTATCGTCTAATTTGAAATAAAAAAAATTCAAAACATTATATTTTTTTGACAGATTTTGCATTGTTAGAATTTCAATTCTTTTGACAGATCCCATTCCATAAAAAAATTCTAGATTAAACCTCCAATTTATTTTTTTGATGAAAGAGACCTTTTATTTTTTTGTTCTTTCCGAAAAAGCCCTCAACTTTGTATTTTTTTGGAAAAAATACAAAGTTGAGGGCTTTTTTGGAAAAAATGATAAAATACAAGGTCTTTTTCAGGCAAAAAAATGAGGTTTAATCCGGAAAAAACACAAAATTGAAGGTATTTTTTGAGATTAACCCTAAAAATTATTGTTAAACTTGAACTATCTCTATGCAATAAACAAAATTCAATTTCGTTCTTTTGTTTTTTTATAAAAAGTCTAAAATACCCTTGATAACATTGTTTCTTTGCATGATTCCAGTCAGACAAAATCAATCTAGACATACAGCGAGTGGTGGGATACAGACAATGGTGTAACAAACTATGGAATGCAGTTCGATTTGCCATGACAAAACTCAATGACAATTATACCCCTCCAAAAACAATAGACCCAAAGAACATGCCCTTCAGTTGCCAATGGATTCTTTCAGTTCTCACCAAAGCGACATCCAAAACCATATCATCTTTAAACTCCTATGAATTCTCAGATGCATCAAGTGCTGTTTATTCATGGTGGCAGTTTCAGCTCTGTGATATCTTCATTGAAGTAATTAAACCTTACTTCTTTGGTGATGATGCATCAATGGCAGCTTCAAAAGCTCATTCACAAGATACTTTGTGGGTGTGTTTGGATACAGGGTTAAGATTGCTTCATCCTTTTATGCCTTTTGTTACTGAAGAATTATGGCAACGACTTCCTTCACCTAAGCATTGTGAAAGAGAGAAGTCTATTATGATCTGTGAATACCCTTCTGTTGTAGAGGTTAGATCTTGAAATATATTAATAATAAACAAATAATTGTAACTAATTTTTATTTTTTATTTATTGGATATAAATAGTCATGGAGAAATGAAAAGATTGAATATGAGATGGAGGTGGTTGAGTCTGCTGTGAAATCACTCAGATCAATTAGGGCAAACTTCCCTGCACAGGAAAGAAATGAAAGGTATTTTATTAAAATCAATAATTGTAAATATATTATTTGTATTTTCTCATAAAGAAATATATATATATATATATATATATATATATATATATATATATATATATATATATATATATATATTTTGGATAGGCGTGCTGGATTTGCAGTTTCTAGAAACGAACAAACTACAGAGCTTCTGAGACGCCATGAAATGGAGGTTTCAACCTTAGCCAACTTATCCTCATTCACGGTATGTGAAAAAGACGAAAATACCCTTCGCATGTAACATGTAATATTTTATGACATTTTGGGGTTAAAACTTAAAAATTGTCAGGTTCTGAGTGAAAATGATGCTGCTCCAGCTGGATGTGCAGTGTCGGTTGTAAATCAATCACTTTCTGTTTATCTAAAGCTTCAAGGAGCCATTGATGTTAAAAAGGAACGTGAAAAGCTCAATGCAAAGTTGACAGAACTACAAAAGTAAGCACAACACTTGAACATTTACTTTTTGTGAAGTCTTGTTCTTTGACTTTCTTTGTTAAGTCAACAAAATAGGGAAAATGACTTAAAAGCCCAACGAAGTTTCCAAACCATTTAAAAAACCCCAATCATGTTTTGTCTGTTCAAAAAAACCCAATGAACTTAACATTTTGTCTACAAAGTCCAACAATGTTTCAAACCGTTCAGAAAATTCCAGTTTTGTTTTGTTTAAGTTCGTTGGGTTTTTTTTGAACAGTCAAAACATGATTGGAGTTTTTTAAACGTTTTGGAAACTTCGTTAGTCTAACAAGTCAGTTTTCCGATACGGTAATAAGCCACGTCATCTGTTTCTCTTATTTGACTTTCGAGAAAGTGTAACTTAATTGGACTTTTTAGATAAAATGTTAAGTTTGTTGGGTTTTTTTGAACAGACAAAACATGATTGGGGTTTTTTTAACGGTTTGAAAACTTCGTTGTGTTTTTAAGTCATTTTCCCCAACAAAATATATTACCAAATGATGTATGGGTCAATGTTTGACTTTGAACAGGCAAAAGGATAGTTTGAATAAGGCGATGAGTGCGAAAGGGTATGAAGAGAAGGTTCCGGAACATATAAAAGAAGAAAACATGGCCAAATTGACAATGCTAATGCAACAATTACTGTCTTGTGAGGAAGCTACTCAACACTTTGAACGTGAAGTGGCTTCAAAAGCAGAGATCTAAGTCAACCCTCTGATGACATTTATTCAAATGACAATTAGGGAACAAGAGTTGAAGATTTTGATACAATTTTGTGAAATTATTTGTATTTTTACCTTCTTAGGATAACCATTTATATACCATGCGCCTGTTTTGTTGAAGCTCACAACCACTAAATATTTTAAAATAGTTTTCCTGTTAAGCATCCCACAAGAAGTTATATTGAGACTGAAGCCAATGTCAGAATGCAGTTTTTTTTTTTTTTTTTTTTTTTTTTTTTTTTTTAATGATGGATGGCTTCCCATTGGAAATCTGAATAAAGATACAGCCAAGAATGATATACATGTGAAATAGTCTAAAAGAGGACAAGTCACATTGAATTGCAACTTGAATCAAACATTCTATTCTACATTTCATTTCACTTTGTTCTTAATTCTCATTTAGTGAAGATTACTGTCGATTAAATAAGTTCAATTAATAGATGTTTATGTTATCACATTGTTCAAAATACTTAAAATATTTAAATTTTTATCTATCAGCTTAGTGTAAAACTTATAATTTCATTGTTAGTGTTAATGGCATAATCTAAAGAGCACATATTTGTCAAAATTGTAACTTACATAATTATAACATGTGTAATGCATATGCATTCTCCTAGTTTATTATGAATAAGTAACAATGATTCTCAAAGTCAAGGGATGAAAAGCAAATCCTTTACCTATTTACCCTATATGTATATATCAATTCAACAAAAAGTAAACCAATTCATCTATTCATTGATAGATAAGAGAACCTGTTATAATTAATTCATTTCCAATCATAAAAACAGAAGCTATATGGGTTTAAACTCCATGCCTTGCACAGTGAGCCCTTTAAATGACCTGTTATCAGATAGCATCGATTCAAAATGTATCGTAATCCTTGCAGTGGTGGTAGTGTCAGTTTGAAATTCATATACTTGAACTTCCATGCAACCATCGCTCCTTTGCTGTGGAAGGCGTTTCTTTTGATAAACCCGATCCCTAATAAGTGGAGCTTGATGACTAAGTAAATAGATATACCATGGATCAGTCACACCCGAAGTTAATGGCATATACACTTTCACAGGAGGTTCAAAACGAGAATGGTTTTCTTGTAATTTGTAAACAAGGTAAGCTGCGTATGTTGTTTCAGGTGATAGCATATTGGATCTGCATTCTATCCAAAAGAGGTCAACATGATCAAAAGTTGTTTCACTTAATCTGCAAAAAGACATATTGAGTTTAATAAAAATGTTACATGGAAAAAGACAACATGTTCATGCAATATGAAAATCTAGAGACATATAGAGGAAGCACCTTAAGTTGGGTAAAGATCGCGACTCCAAATGCTTATCTGCATATCTTAAGAACAGTTCCGCTGATGGCATATGACATTTCTTCCCATTTTTTGCAAGAAAAAACCACTGCCAATCAGTAAACATTAATTTGTAAGTACTTGTTTCCGAATTATGGAGTTATTCGATCCCTTCGAACTGATGTTCATATATCATATGGGAAATAATTTAACTAACTACAGTTGTGAATGTCTCAAAAACGAAAGGAATGAATCATTCATATCTCAATAATATTAATATACCTCTTTATCATTGTTGATTGCAAACCCTTTGCAAAGAATAGAGTAGAGTTCCTTCTTGGTTTTGAGTCGGAGGCTATGGTACTTTGACAACTTAAGTATCTCTTTCCAGTCATTTGGCAATATTTGTTCCCAGTATGTGTCTGGATGTGATATAGTTTGCATGTCCATGTCCTCCTTCTCATCCTCCACCTATTATATATAAAGCTTACATGTAAATTAGCCCTTTTGATCGAGAATGGAAGAAAACTCGTATTCTATTTGATACAACCAAAACTTGAAAAGTTTCCCACAATTAAAATTGTAAGAGTTCTCTTACACAGTATTATTGTTGCCTTCCAAGAATGTTTGAAACAATATAAACAATCTGAATTATATAACCTTACCCTCTCCAGGGGCTGAAACTCTATGCCTTCTGCTTCAATTGCAGTTACGCAATAGAACTTGACTTGAAGATCAACATTTTCCGTGTTGCTGATAAACTGACAAAATTCAACCATAAACCATCCATCTCCTCTCTCATGTGCTACAAACGAGTTCGAAAATCTTGTCTCCCAGCCAACTTGTACCACAGGCCTAAGAAGTCCCTCCTTTTGCCTCTAAACTTGAAGACCAGGTTTACCCTGTAGGTGATATATGGCGACAATAATTGTGTTCTCACGTGTGTTTTGAATGCCCCATACGATCCTCTTCGCTTGCGCCCTTCAAATCTGCACGAATATATATATATATATATATATATATATATATATATATATATATATATTATATATATATATATATATATATATATATATATATATAATTAATTAGTATATACACATGAAATAGTACTCTAAAAAATCTATAAAGCTAGGAGGAGAAGGACAATCAACCTTGATTTAGTTTCACGACCATATGGATCATAATCCCAATTAAAAGCCGCAGTATGTTCGAAACATTCTGCTGATATCATTTCAATGTGTTCCCCATTCTTATTTAAGGAGAACCACTGTCCATTAAAATTAAGAGGTTAAGTTTATGATCAGTACATTTATCATGAGGGTAGTATTTGGAGAGCCAAGATTTTCTTGTTTTTTCAAGTTATGGTTTGTAAACATTTAAAACTAAAACGGAAATCATCTACATATGTGAGTAAATAGATATGTATGATGGGTCGATTTTGAAGTTGTCATGTCTGGTATTGGTGGCCCAATGCATTGTATTTGAAATGTATACGTCAAGCATGCATTATCTAATTCTAACTTGTGGAAGAAAAAAAAAGTCGTCCAATATTGTACAGCTATAATATAATTAACATTTTATAGATCCCGATTAACTATTCATAAAAAAATACTAAGTAATAATCTAAAGCATAGGTTTATAGATATAGCTAATCACCGTTTTACCCTCGTTAATGATGATTCCTTCGGAGAGAAGCATCTCTAGTTCCTCTTTGTTGACCACAGTGTTAACCATCTCTTTAAACTCCACGAATTTGGAGACCCCCTCCTGAAAAAGCTTCTCTTTTTTAGAAATCTCGTGCTGAAACCCAAGCGCAACCTCAAGTTTTTCCACAATGTAAGACATCTTTGGCCGTTCTGAACGGGATTTCTGCAAACATTGATAGGCGATTTCTGAAAATGTTTCTAATGACCTCAAATCCATGTCTTGCTTCAAATGATGAAAGATGATCTCCTCCATTTTCTTCTCCTTGTAGCACTTTTTCCACCATCGCACTAAACTTTGAGGATGATTAGTCTTAGTTTCATAGCATAGGCTCCCACACAACACTTCAAACAAGACCACCCAAAAGAGTATACGTTTGACTCTTTGGTTAGGATACTTGTCTCCATATACATCGGATCTATGTAAAAAAAGGTACCGACAACATTTGTGGCAAGAAAGGATTGCAACCGATTAGCGGGTCCTATTTTCGAGAGTCCCATGTCCGAAACTTTAGCATTCCAATTCTCATCTAACAGAATGTTGGAACTTTTAATATCTCTGTGGATAACTCTTTCTCGTGTCTCCTTGGGATCATGAAGGTAGAACAACCCCCTTGCAGCCCCAAGGCATATCTTGAGACGTTGTGTCCACGTGAGAGTCATGCTACTCAGGTGGCGATCAAGGCTTTCATGAGATGCATACTCATACGCAAGTATCTTCTCACCATCCCCATCACAAAATCCCAGGAGAGAGATGAGGTTTTCATGTATGTAACGGGAAAGCATCAAGATCTCTTTGAAGAACTCAGGATTTCCCTGCCCACAGTTGCTATCCAAACGCTTAAAAGCAACCATGGTTTGCCCCTTAGAGTCAGAGAGCACTCCTTTGTACACCTTCCCGAATCCACCTTCTCCAATAACTTTCTTGTTATCAAAGTTATTGGTGATTGGCTTTATCTCTTCTAAGTTGAAGTGTCTCAGATGATGAAACGCTTCCAGAAAGGCCTCCATTATTTGATAGAGATCAAATGGGTTGTAATTATAAGTTGGATTATAATAAGATGTTCAAGCTCTTTCGAAGGGCAAGGGATGTATATAGTTAAATAACATCAAAGTCCTACAACCGTAAGTACTTGATACACATGTGACCCATTCAATTCCTACCTACCACTTTTTTTTCTTCAGTTCTAAATAATTTTCAAATTATTTTTTTACATGAAAACTTTACATACTTTTCTTTTATTTCATTTCTAAACTTTTTTTTTTTTCAAAACATTTTAAAATTTGAATTTTTTACACCGTTTCTTACTAAATTTAATAAAAGATCTTGTCAATACAATATTTGTCTTGACACCAATATTGAATAATATTGATTTTTATCTTTATCACAAAAATAGAAAAAGTTGTGTGAAATATAAATTTTATTAAATAATGTTTTTCCTATTAGAAAAACCTTTTTTTTTAAAGTTAAATATAAATTCCTATTATATCTCGGTTGTTGATTGTCGATATATATATATATATATATATATATATATATATATATATATATATATATATATATATATATATATATATATATATATATATATATATATATATATATATATATATATATATATACAAGAAAATGGAATTACAAGCTAGAGTAGATAAGGTTATCAACCCATGAGTCCAAGACAAAGATTTCCCCCACTTTGCTCTATTTTTAAGCCACAAAAACCCTAAAGCTTTTACATCAAAAGTAAGAAGAGAATGAATTTTCACTTTGCTATTAAAGATCAAATCGTTCCTATACATCCAAATAACCCATAAGAAGGCCCTAGAGATCGCGTCCATGATATCTTTCTTTCTATTGCCTTTTTTGTGGATTGAGTTTACTATAATGAGGTTGTCCAAAGAGTCATTTTCATTTGAGAGCATCCTTCCACCACAAACATAGAAGTGCTCCCAACTCCCTAGTGGTTGAACAATCTTTAAATATACGATCTTCATTCTCCTCAAACGCATTAGACATCGGGCATAATGTACTTGGAATACCCACCCCCTCCGAGCAAGGTTAGCTCTCATTAGGCATAACGTACTTGAACTAATTAAAATAGATTAGTCTCTCGTTTCTCTTGTGGCGACCTTATTTTAAACTCGAACATTTTCTTGCGGCGGCTTAATCATAAAATGTCAATACACAATTTTGATTTTAAATTTATTCGCACCTCTCAATACTAGTTGAATCCTCCAAAATTCTAATTAGCCTTGATTATTTCTAATATTAATCACATTAAAAACAGTTTTGGCTTTTTTTTTTTTAACTTTTTTGGTTTTGTCTTTCATTATTATTATTATTATATTAATATTTTTTTTCTTATAATATTTGTTTTTGTCTTATACAAAGAATTGTCCAGATTTATACAAGTGTTTGAATTTATACAACTACTTGAATAATAGATAGATATTTGAATACTTGACAAATATTCAAATTGTTACTAATATTAATTCTTTTTCTAATAATAATAAAAGTTAATTAATAATTCACAGACGTTCTAATGTTTAGAGATCATTTATGTAAATCACCAAAATGCACTAAAACTCACTAAATTATCAAAATGCTCAAGAATCACTCAAATGGACACTTAAGGTCGATTTCTAGGGTTTAGAGGGAGGGAAGCTGAAGATATTAGGGTTAGGCTATGAGATAAGGGGCATAAATAGGGTTCAAGACCTTAAAATAGGGTTCAGGTCTGATCAGCGTACGCCCAACGTACATTTGGTACGCCCAGTGTACTCCAAAGAATATTCGCGACCACCCCTGGTCAGTACGCCCAACGTACTCCAAAGTACGCCAAACATACTTCCTTCTACACTAGTACGCCCAACGTACACTTTGTGTACGCCCAACATAATTGGCTAAGCCTGCAACCACCAAACTTCTGAAGGCCATAACGTCTTCGTTATAGATCCGTTTCCGATGATCCTTATATCCACGAAAAGGTAACGAGAAGCTCTACACTCTTATCAACTTTATTACTCTTGAAGCCCACTTGAACTCAAATCCAAAATTCATAAAAAGCCCGCACCAATGCCTTTAACAACTCATTTGGGCTCTAAATCACAAACCGAACTCTTTTATTACACAACCGACCTTACCCATATCCCAAAAAAACCTAAACCTTTATCCTTCAAAGCCTCAAAACCTTCTCATACTCGGATTAAGGCCCACAGGCCTTAAATCACAAAACAATACGAAACAGGATGTTAATATTCTCCCATACTTAAATTAGATTTCGCCCTCGAAATCGTTCTTTTTCTTCACATGGATCGAAACAAATAACCCGAGAAGCACAATCGGAAAATCTCTTAACATTCAACAATCCTTCTCTCAAGACATCTGAAACCAAATAGAAATTCCCAAGACAAAGAAGGACGAACCCCTTTTCCGTGGAAGTACTTGCTTTAACTCTCCAGAACTTGAAACTATAGCGGTTTGTCTCCCTAACAGACTACCCATGCACAATATCAACCTGATAATCGCTCATCGAATAACAGACTCGGATAAAACACTTCCAACTCTGAGTACCAGGTTAGCTCTCAACCCAACGGTTGAACCTCTAAGGGCTACCCCTTGCATACCCAATAAAATGACTCTACCATCCTCCTTCTCACAATAGCTATCTCAGCCCATCATATGAAACATAAAGTCACGAAGTTCTCTTTACCTCAAGGGAATACTTTAACCCATCTATTGTCGCTCCACTTCCGACCTCTGTCATCTACCACTTAGTAGTTGCATGCATCCCATGCTCCTTCCTGTCACACCATGAAAACCAAGGTGGAAATATTTTTGGGGCGGACTCCACGTTGAGTATCAAATACAATGTACATAGTAAGTAAAGTAAACAACCATTACATTACATATGAACATTTACATTTGTTCAAAAGTAAAGTTGTACAAGTGTGATACATATGTATATATATGAACAAAAGTTAAGGCGTGTCTTCAACGCACTCCGTCTTCGACAAAAGGAACATCGGGTACCTATCTAATGCGGACCTGAGAATACAAGCATTTTAAAAATCAGCATAAAGCTGGTGAGTTCATAAGTGGTTTTGTTTTCTGAAAATGTACCAGTTTCCTTTCGGTTTCTGAAAAAGTTACGACCCAAGAAAATCCCATATTTTCTTTTATGTAAGTTTAGTTATCTGTTATGTTACACGGTTCTGGTTATGTACAATTGTTATCCCAGGAAAATCCCATATTTTCCTAAAAGTTGACTACCAATCTTAAATGTAATGTGAAAGATGCATACTGAAAACCTGGTTATCCTTGTGAAGTGTATGTTAGTTTACCAATCCGAAATGTAATGTAAAAGATGTATACTGAAATGTATTAGTTTTAGCACGTATATAAAACTAATAACTACAAAGCAAACTAGTTACTGAATCCATTATTACTATATAGTAAATCTCTGTTATCCAAATTGCGAGTTCCATAACCATACGATAGATTAGATATGGAAATAAGTAATCCATCACACTTTATGACTTTCGTCACCCTTGAACCTTTCGGTTCGGCTGTAGCTAGCAGCCAGGTGCGGGGTAGTCAGCCTCGTATAGATCTAGACACTCAAGTCACGCTCCCTATCTAAGAGATTATGGTTACAGGGGCGGTCCTCCACTCACGTATATCTATGGAGTGTTCTCCGAGGATGTGTCTCCAATTTATAGGAATAACAAATTTACTAGTAATAATATAGAAAGATCAAATGACGATCCTCCACTCGCGTATCTCTGTGGAGTGTTACCGAGGACAAAACAATATACAAATTTCATGTTCAAAGTTCAAATGTTATGCTTTTAACTGTTATAATGTGGGAAACCATTTGTGAAAATATAAAATACAACAATTTATAATGTTTTTCACAAATAATATGATAATGTGTTCTGCAAGTTCAAACGGTTGTTGGTTACGACTGTCAATGTTAAAAGCAAATGAAATATGAAACATAACATATGTAAAACCATTTTTCAGTACAAGTATCCCTTGTACCTTGCTTATATTCCCTCCTGAAAACAGTGAAAACATTGAAAATGGGAAGGGGTATGAACTCACCAGACGAGAAAACGTGTTGTTTTGGTATTCTATGTGTCGGTTCGGGGCTTAATAATGTGTGAGGTTCCTATGTAATATGAAATGGAATACAAATGTATCTAATTAGACTTTAAATCACTAATTAGATATGATTATACACTCCAATACGAGAAAACACTTCAAATCAAGTGTTTGGAGTGACCCGGGTGACATCTATGGACGTATAGGACTTTGGATAATGTGTTTACTCTTCAAGAGTAAACTCCTTAGGGAGTTTACAGCCCTAAGACTATGACCATATGTGTTCACGGCTGTGAACTCATGAATATGGGGTATTATGGTGTCAAACGGTCAAATAACACTTGGGAAGGGTTGCTATGATTTAATCTAAGGTATTGGAATGAGCTAAACCACCAAAGGTATTACCAAATGGAGTTTACGACTATAAAATAGGAGTTTACGGCCGTAAGCTCCTATGTGACCATTCCTTACATGATTTGGTGGCCCTAGATTAATCCTATGTGATTCAAACCAATTTTACAAGCCTTAGAATGAATTTAGGGCATCATTTGACGTGTATGTGAGTTTACGGCTCAATAACCCATTCTAGGGGGGTTTACGGCCGTGAACTCTCAAAGGGATGGTTCTCATCATGTTTAAGGCCCCTAAATCGATTGAGGTTGATTCTAGAATTTAATCCAAGGCTATTGGTGTGTTTAAGTGGCATTTAAACACTCAGATTTGAGTTTACTCCCCATGAAGATGCGTTTACGGACCAAGCATGTTCTTGGGCAGTAAACTCATGTTTAATCCTCAAAATTTAAGTTTAAGGTTTTCTAAGTACGGTCCATTAAGCCATTTAGCCATATCTTAGCTCCAAAGTTCGATTGGAATGGTTTTAAGGCTCAAAAACCCCTTATATGTG